CTCTAATCTGGAGAACTGGGTTTGATTCCCCACTTCTCCACATGAAGCTTGCTGGGTGACCTTGGGCCAGTCACAGTTCTCTCAGAGCTCTCTCAGCCTCACCTACCTCATAGGGTGCCTGTTGCAGGGAGAGGAAGGCGATTGTAAGCCACTTACTCCTTCGGGTAAAGAAAAGTGGGATTTAATACCAATTTTTCTTCTTCAGGCTCAAAAAGGCTGGGGACTCCTGGACTAGAGAAAAATCATAAAATGAACTTACCAGTTCTAAATTTCACCAGCATTACTGTCAGCCCCTCATCCGAGGCTGGTGCTTGTCATTCATGATTTGTTTTAATCCAACTGCTCATATGGATTAAGGCAATCCCATACAGGGTCACTAAAATTTTTGACTCCCTGAATTATATGAGAACATCTACAACTAGTTTTTGAGATCTTGAATTCAGAAGGAAGACCCCATGGTGTTGACACTGGGTTTGATCTAGTCATCTTTTCCACCCCATAGAACCTAATTCCTCTTTTTCCCAGAGCCTCCCCTGCCTCTGTCACCACCTCCTATATGGAAAGCCTGAACACCAGGTCGTGACATCATCAAAGGTAGTCCTACAGTCCCTGAACTCTGCTGTTGCCAGCTACTGTCACAAGTGTTTTAACTTGCAGTTTCTCGTGTACTCAACAAGATATTTTCTTGGTTCTTTCACTGCAGTATTCCAGATTCTTCACACTAGCTTACAGTGTTACTGAGTTCAGTTTCCCTTGCATATTTGAGTGTATGTTTCATATAATTTACAAGCATATAATAGGGGAAACTGGTGGATGTCTGTTGTATGATGGTATTGTCAAATAATAGTAAGAGTTTAATAACTTTTGATTTTCAGTATTACTTTTTATCTACCATTGACACAGCATGAGATATTAATATGTAAAAACTCATACTTAGGTAAGACGTTTTCACATACAGTAAACTTCAATTATAATCTCCAGTTACCAAAAAAAAGCAGCTACACTTGAAATTGGTGTACAAAGTTCATTGTGAGTACATTCACAACGTTCAAGGGAACCAACAAATGTAATAGAAAGAGAGTACAACATTCAATCTTCCTATGGAACTTCTTTTGAGTAAATTAGAGGAAAATATAGAAACTTCACATTGTGGCCTTCAATGAGTCTAAATTTCACCAGTTGTAATTTCAACTCACGTTGTTGCAGTTCAGGGGCAAATTAATGTGAAAGGCAACTACATCACTTCTGCAAAGTTCTTGTTCTAATTTTTGGTTCTAATTGTTTTTTCAATTTTATGACTGAAACCTCATATAGTTTTA